ACTGTGGCCAAAGAGGTCTAGGAGATGATGATTCTGAAAGATAGGTAGACTGAGCCTGCCAGACAAAGTTGCAATGCTGCTGGAGGAGTTGGGCATTACTGGGTAAGTCACAGTCTCATGGCAATACATAGACTGATAGAAATTGGTTAATAATTAGGACAGAGCTAGCCAATAAGAAGCCCTAGTTATTGGCCAACAGTTTCATAATTAATATAGTGTCTGTGTGTTCACAGACCTGTGGGACCTGCAGGGCCAGAAAACTCATGCTTACAGTCCCCTTCTACATTAGTGATGGGAGTGCAAAATGGTAAGCTGTTGCAGAAAATAGTTTGGTGGCTCTTCAAAATGTGACTCTAAAACTTCACTCCCGGGTACATACCCTTACCCCCAGAACTGAAACTGGATACTCAAATTCTTAGATACACATGTTCACAACAGTACTACTAACAGCAGCTCAAAGATAAAAGGAAACCAAATGCCCATTGTGCTTGCTTGTCTTACGTCAACATGACACCCAAACTAGAGTTATCTGAAAGGGGGGGGACCTCAATCTAGAAAATGCCTCTATAGAATCAGGCTGTAGGTAAGCCTGTAGGGCATTTTCTTAATTAGTGATTGATGTGGGAGTGCCCAGCCCATTGTGGGTGGTATCATCCCTGGGCTGGTGGTCCTGGGCTATTTAAGAAAGCAGGTTGAGCAAACCAGGGGAAGCAAGCCAGTAAGCAGCACCCTTCCATGGCCCCTGCATCAACTCCTTCTTCCAGGTTCCTACCCTGTTTGACTTCCTGTCCTGACTTTCTTCAATGATGAACAGCAATGTGGAAGTGTAAGCCAAATAAACCCTTTCCACCTCAACTTGCTTTTTAGTCTTGGTGTTTTGTTGGAGCAGTAGACTCATCAACTATTAAGCAGACATATAATGGTACATCCACAATGGATTATTATTCAGCCATAAAAAATGAAGCACTGACATGTGGTACAGTATGGAAAACATCATATGAAGTGAAAGAAACCAGTTGGAAGGAGTCTCATATAGTATGATCTATTTACAGGAAATGTCTGGTATAAGTAAATCCATGAGGACAGAAGCAGATCAGTGGTTTCCAGGGACTGGGGAAAGGTGGGAACAGAAAATTACTGCTCAAGGGGTTTAGAATTTCCTTTTGGGGACAGTGAAAACGTTTTTGTGCTAGGCAGAGGTGGTGGTTGTAACACACTGTGGATGTACTAAATGCCACCGAAACTTTCACTTTGGAATAGTGTGATGGCTAGTTTTGCTAACCTGATAAAATCTAGAGTCATCTGGGAAGGGACTCTCAGTGAGGAATTCTCTATATTCCATTTATTTGTTATTTTGCATATATGGGTGTTTCCCCTGCAATTACATGTATGTATTACATATGTGTCTGGTTATCTTGGAGATCAGAAAAGGGTTTTGGAGCTACAGATGGTGACCATGTAGGTGCTGGGAAAAGGAATCGTGGTTCTCTGGAAGAAAGGTGTTCTTAACCATGGAGCCATGCCTCTAGTTCCTCCACGATGAATCATATAGACAGGTTGGCCTCTCAGGATTCTGTGGGGGTATTATACTGATTAAATTAACTGAGTGGGGAAAGACCTGCCCACTCTGGTGGCATCATTCCCTAGGTACGGAATCATAATGTGTAAGAGTGAAGATGGTGAAGCATGCATCCATGTTTTTACCCATTGCTCTCTCCTCTTGACTGTGGATATGATATGACCAGCTGCTTTACATACATGACAGAGTGACTTCCCTGCAATGATGGACTGTGACTGTGACTTCTTAGCTAAAATAAGTCCCTTCTGTGTTGCTTTTGTCAGGGTATTTTATCACAGCAGAATCAAAGGTAATGGTGGCTTTTTTTTTTTTTTTTTTTTTTTGAAAAGCTATTTTGATGCTTGCTATGGTTTGGCTCTTAAATGTCTACTATAGGCTCATATGTTAAAATTTGATTGGCAGCCCAGGGAACCACTGGGAAATAGTAGAGAGACCACTAGGAGAGTGGTCTAGTAGAAAGAAATTAGGTTATTGGGGGTGCACCCTTGTATCACATACTGGAACCCTGGACTCTATCACTCTTCCTGGCTCTCCCCATCACAATAGACCTTGCCATAGTCCCTAAAGGCTATGCACTGACAACTCAAAATCCACGAGTCCAAATGAACCTTTGCCTCAGATATTTTTTCATGGCTATGGAAAGTTGATTACTATAATATTCATTTTTAAAATGATATAGGTTAATGGACAAATGTCTGAAATACAAATACTTAAAAAGCAACTTGGGTTTTGCTTCAGAGTCCGTTTGGCTCCTGCTTATCTGTGCCCTATATGTAATCATGAACTTTGATTTCTACCAGCTACAGCATCTCTGACTCCCTTACTCAGTGCTGGCAGACCTGAGTTGATTGGTAGATCTGTGGTTGATTAGTAAATGCCCTTGCTGAGAAAGGACGGTGCTGCAGGGCTGACTCCCTTCCCCAACAGCCCACATTTTGTAACCAAAGTCATCTAGAATAACTTCAGGCCCGAATCTGCTTGAACTATTGTTCTCATTGTGTCTACACTAGAAGCCACTGTGCTTTGAAATTATGGAAATATTGTTTGACTATTAAGTTGAATGGCTTAGCCCTGGGATTTAAATTTACAAGTAAACAGTCATCCCAGATGTGGATATATAATTTTCTATGTTTTATTAACCAACCCCTCCACAAAGATTGTAGATTTTCAGGCCTTTGTAAATTCCCTTCTATCAGCCTCAGGCATATGGTGCTGTGGAATAATCCCTTTGTACACTGTGGAGATGTGTAGCTCTCATTGTTAATAAAGAGCTGATTGGCCAACAGCTAGGCAGAAAGAGGTTAAGCAGGACAGCCAAACTGAGGGAATGCAGGTAAAAAGCAGGGAGTTGCCAGCCAGATGCAGAGGAAGCATGAGATAAATATGCCATGCTGAAAAAGGTTACCGCTGTGTAGTACAGCACAGATTTTAAAAAATATATATGGGTCATTTAAAGTTATAAGCGCTAGTTAGTAATAAGCCTAAGCTATTGGCTGAGCATTTATAATTAATTAGAAAGTCTCTGTGCTGGTTACTGGAGAGCCTGTGGTCCTGATGAAAAACTCCACCTATATGAGTTGGACCTAAAAGGAACCATAGGCGTGCACAATTTAGGTCAGCTTCCAAGAACTAGCTGTTACTCTGACCCTCTTCAGAACTGTCTACTCTGAGAGAGATCTACTACAGTCTCCAAGCTACAAAAGCCCTAAAGTACTCCCTACCTCACCTGGCTACCCCATGGTGTCCCTGCAGAAGAGCCCAGGAGGGCTCAGAGTGGCTCCTAGAGACAAAGGGTTCAGATAACAGTGGAGAGATGGCCCTTCCTCCTCTTTGTAATTCATTTCCATCCTGCTCCCAATGGAGATAAATAACCCTCTAGCCTTTGCTTTATTTACCACTACCAGGACAGGACAGGGCCAGCTGGTGAGACAAGTGTCCTGCAGAAGTTCTCACTGTCCCCCTCCAGTGGCCACTGAGGTCTAGTTCTTGACACTCTGTCCCAGTGAATACCCTGGGAGGTTCCTCAGTCCCTCTTGCAAAAAGGACTTGTCCTGCTGGCTCCATGTCTAAAATCCCAAGTTGGAGGTTGCAGGCAGGGCCCAGGTTCGGGGTCTCAAGAGACTATTTTCCAACCATCTATCATGTACTGGCATCAATGTTCCAAGGACATGGGCTCCTATCACCCTGGTGCTGCTGTGGGCTTTCTGTTGGCAACTTCTTGAGGTCAGTCCAGTTTGAACCTTTATCCTGAGGAAGGACACCTCCTCCTGGACAGACACCAACTGAGCACTGACAGGGCTGTTCTCCGCAGAGCTGGCGAGATTTCATCAAAGCTGCTTGCATCCTCCACTGTTGACTGCCATACCCCAGGGGTCTACCTCAGGCTTCTACCCAGTCAGCGCGCCTTACTCTGCCTCTCTTTCTTGGCATGAATTGCTCTCCCCTTCTTCCCTCAGAAGAGAAGAGGAGAGGGACTATTGGGAGGAGAACAAAAGTGAAAAAGCTATAGGCACTTTATGTCCAAAACACACGATGCCCCAAAGACCGGTGCACTTTTTCATTCCATTTAAATGAAAATCCAGATGTACAAGGATGTGAAATTCAGAACATAGAAATGGTTTTGCATGTCAGCCTCTCTCCCTCCCTCCCTCCCTCCCTCCCTCCCTCCCTCCCTCCCTCCTTCCATCCCTCCATCCCTCCCTCTAGTATTTAGAAGGAAAGGGCATCAGAAATCTATATAGACACCAGCTTATCAGTAGATATTTAAGGCTCTTAGGTAGGGTCTTACACTCCCTCACAAGAGTCAGAGAGACCTGGAACACAGTGTATCTTTTGGGGAGCACGTGAGTGATTTGATCTAAATGTTCAGAATGTTTTAGAAAGAACCTTAAGTAGTAAGGGGGGGCATGAACATCTCCTGCAGGGCAAAATACAACAATTTACAGTTTGGCAACGCCCCTCCCTTCCAGTAATGCCTCTTCCCTCCCCTCAGTGATGCACAACAGCCTGGCACACAGCGGGGTCAAGAGGAACGTTTGTTAATGTATCAATCAGTTCCAGTAAAAACTGGATTCATCTCACTCTCTCAGGGGTTGGAACTGGCAGACCCAAGTCAAACGGAAGAGTAAAAAGGAGGACGGAAAGACACAAGGTGAAGCTAGCTGGAGGTCAAAGGCTAAGAAAGTCACCAGAAAGGTGACTCCCAGAAAGTGGCAGTAAACTTTGAGGGTAAAATCACATGCATCTCAGGTCTGGGATCCAGGTTTTCAAGTTTGTTACGGGATTTTATGCAAAACAATATGCAAATCCAGAGTATTAAAATAAAAAACAAATTCCAGCCCTTTCTTGGGTCACACACAGGTTAGCGTTGAACTCTCCCGGATGCTCTCAGCACCAGTCCTGTAGGAAGGGCCTCGAGGAGGGCTGTGCCACGGGCGGGACCATGACGTTGAGGTCAAGGCGGGGCCTCCTCTTGTTCCTCCCCCGGCTGCGGCCGCCGCGGCGGTGGCTTTGCATCTCCAAAAGGGGCCCTCCGACTTCTCGCTGGGCCAGTCCGGCGCTGTGTGGCGGAGTCTCACGCTGCTCCCGCCGGTCTCGGAGCGGGACTCCTTTCTCCTCAGAGTTACGAGTAACTTTCCCAGCCCCTGGCGCTAAAGTGGCTCGGGGACCGTGGCCGCCGCAGGTGGGTGAGCCCGGGGCCCGGCTCTCTGCAACTCCGCTGTGCGCAGGTCAAGCCCTCGGTTCGTGCACCGTGGGGGTCCCTGGCGTCGGCTCTGCGGGCGAGATGCCTCTGGGACACATCATGAGGCTGGATCTGGAGAAGATCGCCTTGGAGTACATCGTGCCCTGTCTGCACGAGGTTGGCTTCTGCTACCTGGACAACTTCCTAGGCGAGGTGGTGGGCGACTGCGTGCTGGAGCGAGTCAAGCAGCTACACTACAACGGGGCCCTGCGTGACGGCCAGCTGGCGGGGCCGCGCGCCGGCGTCTCGAAGCGGCACCTGCGGGGCGACCAGATCACGTGGATCGGAGGCAATGAAGAGGGCTGCGAGGCCATCAACTTCCTCCTGTCCCTCATCGACAGGCTGGTCCTGTACTGCGGGAGCCGGCTGGGCAAATACTATGTCAAGGAGAGGTCCAAGGTAGGATGCGTGCGTGCGCCCAGCCGCAGCTACCGCTGCCGGGACGGGAAACCTTCGTTCAGAGTGTTGTCTCCTTCGCTGGGCTGCAGTGAACTTTGGTTTTTAACCAAGAAGTCACCTTGCCTTATCTACTCCCTTGCGTCCCCTCCACCTCCATAAGCAAAAGTCCCCGCTAAGGGGCTCAGGTGTGTCACGATGATGAGCTTCTGCAGACTTTGAAAGAATCGCTCTGGTTTTGGTGATGCCCGCAGGACAACTGGCTTGTGGAGGGAAAAGATGTCCATGGTCCGAAGTGCCAACTTTAAAGCCACCCGGTACTGCCCTTCACTGTAGCCAGAGGCACTCTTAACCCTACTAGAGGCAAGTGTATTGTTTGCCTAATGTTAGCTGGCTTGTAGATTCTGGTAGGGTGGTAAGGAAGCGTTTGCTATGTCAAACGGTGAGACTCCACTTCTGCGTGCAGCCTTTGACCCCTGGCGCCCAGGATCCGCTTAGACTCATCAACCCAACTGAAAATTCTCACCTGATGCCGGGCCCTACACCGTCTCCTTTCTTTCTCTATAAACGCATGGCAAAGTCCACTCAAACAACCTGATTAGGTCAGTGGAGAGAGTCGTGAAGTGCCTCTGGGTAGAAACCTTGTTTCTGTTCACAGAGCCGGAAATGGTGCAGTGGGTGGTGATGATTTATCTTGGAAACGGTTCCAGGTGTAGATTGGCAGGCGGACCAATGGGAGGCGGAGGAGCTGAGAGGGTGCTTAGGCTTTTCTTTGGGTTAGTCTTGGCTGCTTGGGCTCATCTTCATTTAACGATAGTCAAACTCTCTTTCCAGGAGCAATTCAGAGTGATTTGTCCTTATGTTGTCTGGTCAAGGGACCCTCAGAATCATTAAAACTTTTCAAGTGTAGCTAGGCAGAGCCTATTAGCCGCTGAGGGACCATGAACATCCACGCGTGTGCCATTCTTTGTAAGTGTAAAGTTTCTCAGTGTTGGTCTCGGGATAAGCTATTGCAGTCTTATGTGTCCCCAAAGCTGGAAAGAGCATGCTTGTAAAAAAAAAAAAAAAAAAAAAAAAGTAGTCAACTAGAAATGTCGAAATGTCTGGAGGTGAAAGGGTTGAGGTGGATGAGTAGCAGCGTTGGGGAGCTGCAAATTGCTATCAAGTTTGGACGATGTGACTTGACTGTCTGACAAGCGTCCTCATGGACGTGAATCTTAGAAGAAAGTTCTGGCTTCTGCATTTTAGTTAGATTTTGGGAGTGGTTCATAGCCGAAATCTGCTGTAGCATGATTTCGGTTTTTGTTTATTTTCTTCATCAGTTTGTTGATAGACTGGAAGGTCATCTGTGTTTTGATCAGTGTTGTTTCTGTGCTAAATAACCTTGCTGATAGCCCTGGGGTTAGTCTCGGTATCAGGAGACACTTGGAGCTTTAACTTAAAAGGGCAATGAATGGTTCCTTATCGGTTTTGTAAAGTTTCTAACAAACCTGGGTGTACAAGAATTTTTCCTCTGTGGTTGAGGAAAAAACTCTCCCTTTTGAGGGAGATTGAAATTAGTTGATAAGTCATGTTACTACAGAGTTTAAAATTTATGTGTTTATTTGACTTAATGGATGATGGGGATCCCAAGCTAGAATTTAATTCAAAGAGAATGGGGGGGGGGGGAGAGTCACCCAGGGTAAGGAAGCAAGCTCTATAGATTTTCAGTCTCAGGTTCTCTTCTAGGTGGACTAAGTAACTTTTCAGCTGTGTCAGAAGGTGCCTATACATTGAAAGGAGAAAATCTGTCTTACCCCGGGAAGAGGTGTCTTTCCTTATTCTGAGTCCAGTTTTCTCGGCTGTTCCTGGAACAAATACCTGGCTAATTAGAACAACAAACAAACAAACAAAAATACACAGACAAAAACCAAGCTTCAACAAACAATTAGTGTAGGTGTTTTGTTGTTGTTGTTGTTTTGTTTTTTGTTTTTTTTTAACTGTAGCACTTTGATTTACTTGTGTAAGGACAGCGGCCTCCAGTCCCTTACTCAGAGTTCACTAGTGATGCATTGTCAGGCACATCCTGTCTATAGGGGCTATACTCGTTTCCTTTCACTCGGCCTGTTTTCTTCCTTGCATGCCTTTCCTCCCTCCGTGTCCTTATTTTGTACTGCTTCCCACAGTACTGATATAGATAGACCTAGTTTCCTGCTTATAGTTTCAAGGGAAATTTTTTTTTTTCCTAGAGAGAATTTGTACAGATTTTAAACTTATTTATAACTTTTGATTGAGGGAATTTCAAACATACTGAAATGTAGATAGGCTAATGTGAGCTCCTACCAGGCAGTTTTAGCAACTGCCGATTTTGTGCATTTAGTTTTGACTGTTTTTTTTAATTGTTGTTTTAAAATACACTTTAAATTTCTATCCATTGTGCTTATGAATGCGTACATCCTTGTTACATTACCTATTTATTTATTTATTTATTTATTTATTTATTGCTGTACTTATAAAGGTCATTGAATAATATGAGTGGAATTACAGATATTGGGAAGAAACAAGAGTATTTGCTGGACCTAAAATTGAAACTGGGAGAACTGTTAGGTGGTACCTTACTCTGTCAAAAGTAAAAGTTGTTGTTGGTTAGAATTTGTGCTTTTCCTTTGTTGTAGCCAAGAGGGGTTTGGAGCCTCTCTGGGGAAAGCCGGTCCCTGTTGTGCTGTGGAGTGTGGCATGGCGCCCCCTAACCTCAAGTATGGTCATTGCTTTGCAGCCAGCGTTGGTTATCTGTTACTCTCTTCTGGAGATCTAGACCATATCCAAGATAAATACTGCTTATAATTTGCTCCTTTTTCTTTGGCTGCCCAGAGCCTGCAAGTGGCTATTTTCCAAAGAACGTGTAATTTATAGAACTGAATGTCCCTTTGCCTGAAGCACTCACTGTAGACTCAAGAGTTGGGAACTCTAGCAATAATAAATACCTTTTACTGAGCAGTTTGCACTGCCTGGTCGTCTGCTCAGCACTGTGCTGATTTGACTTATTCTTCTATGCCATAATCTTAAAGGAACTGAGCACCTAAATAAACGACCCAGTCTCTCTCACAGCCAGGGGCAGGAGGCAGTTTTCAAAAGAGTTCAGGAGTGAGGGTTGGCATTACTAAGTCCATGACATTTGAGAAGTCACTCAGGTCTTATCCAGTGTAAAATAATAATACAAAGGCTTTGGGAGAAAAGACTTTATAATACATGTAAAAATTCTTAGAATTTCCAGTCTCTGTCCTTGTTTAAAGGCTCTGAGTTTTGAGGTTCTAGTCCAAATTTGTATGTCTTGAGTTTGTGTTCTTAACCATTAGGGCTTTCTAATTTAATTCGTATGTGTTTCTGTGTAGGACTTCTGTGTAAATGAGCCAGCTTATTACACTCACAAATACCGGTGAACTGTAGGATAGATAGTCTAGTTCATAGTTAACAGTGTCTCAAGCGCTCTCTCTATAGTTAACAGTGTCTCAAGATTTCTCTCTTACACACACACACACACACACACACACACACACACACACACACTGAACTGGGTCAGTCCAGTGTGTTTGAATGAATGAAAATCTGGGTTAGCTTTTCCAGTGTTAATTTTAAGAAAGTATTGCTAGGCTGGTTGTTAGGACCCTGACCATCGTGAACAATGGTAGTGACAGGGTTGTACTGTGCGCGGACAGGTCAGTCCCTTCCCTGGAGACAATACAGAGAATTGGTGAAACAGCAGGAAGTTGATAAATAAGGGAAGTGTGTTCCTCAGTGGTGGGCTTGAGCACACAAATTTGGACGTCTGTTACTTAGTGGAACTTACCCTGGTTGGAAGTGACTCTCAGCAAGATTGGGATGCGGTACTGTGCCAATCAGATATCTCTCAAGACACAAGCACAGGAAATGCAATCAGGAGTCTCAGAGGACTGGGACCACAAACTTGGAACCACCACATCCAGCTGGTGCTTGCTCTCTGAGTTTTAAGGCCTTTCTTTTTGTCCCTCTGCTTGTGTTCTGTATTCCTTCCCCTCTCCTTCAAGTCCAGCCTTGGCTGCCATTCCACACACATGGCACAAGATGATGCCCTTACAATGGCTGCTTCAACCTTCAAGTCAAGATGGATGGAGGCTTGAACACCAGCTGAGAATCCAAGACCCCATTGTCCTGGAGAAAGCCCTCTTGTCTTCACCATAGTTTTGGGGCCCTGTGAGTTCTGGCTGGGGTGGTGGAAGCCTATTGAATCATACATATGTCACCAATATGGTTGCCGGAACCCATGACAGGTGTGATGCTAAGGGAACAGAGGCTTGTCAGTGTCTCCATAGTTAGTCTTCTTTCTAGAACAATGCCTCAGTGAGAGGGAACCCTGTTATTGATGAGGGAGAGCTCATGGTCTATGAAGAAGCATGCTGTGTGGCTACTCAGGAGTCTCCCAGGCTCAGGGTGAAGCTATGAATTGGTGGGCATCAGGTTAGTTTTTTCTTCAGAGGGTAGCTGGTGTCTGGTTGCTCTGCGGCAGATCTTAGTATGAATGGGTAGAGGAAGGAAGGAGTGGAGTGCTTACAAAGCTGGGTGTGGTAGTTAGCACCCATATAGTGGACGTCTCCCCTGACCCCCTTTAGTTTGGTGTTTCTGATTGAAAAGCCTACCCTTGCATTCTTTAGTCATTGTTTTCTTTGCCCTGTTATCCTTGCTAGAGGCAGGAGGATCTCTGAATTTAATGTCAGCCTGGTCTACATAGCAAGTTCCAGAATAGCCAGTGCTATCCAGTGAGATGTCTCAGAAATATTTTTACTGTCTTTAATTACATGTATGTTTGTGTATCTGTGTGTGGGTGTGTGCAGGTGCCTGTAAGTCAGGGATGTCATTATCTCTTGGAGCTAGAGGTACAGGTTGTCATAATCTGTCTTATGTGGGTGATGGAAACTAATCTCCGGTCCTCTGCAAGAACAGTATGTGCTCTTAACAGCTGAGCCCTCTCTCTAGCCCCTAGTGTGTGT